GGTTTTTTTTTTCCCCACCCCCCCCCCCCCCCCCCAGTACCAGTACTGTATAAGTACACACGTGCGCGTCCTTGGCACTCGTTCTCTCTCTCCCTCTTATACTTCCGTTCCTATCCTCTTGACGTCAGCCAATTATTTCGGGTGCACACGACAACAAAACTGGTATTCAACGTTTCCGATCGATGCTAAAGACCGCAATGATCCATCTCATTCAGGGAGGGAAACGGGAGACTCCTGACACAAGGGTGGGGGAGAAATAGAAGGGAGACCGTGAAAGCCCCTATGAAGGAAGGGAAAATGAGAGGGAACGTTCCATCGACTCGGTAATTGAAAATGAATGGAACCTCCCTGGTGTATTCTTCTGGCTCCCCTTCCTAATAACCGAGCACGAGAGGTGTACCCTCTCCACGGGCCTATTCTTAAAAACGAGAGGAAAAATGAACGTGTCCGAAACACTGTGTGTTCTGCTAACGAGCCCCCGTCATTATTTTGGCTTGGGTTCAAAAGATGAAGAGAGGAAACGGGAGGAATGGGGAGGGGGAATGGACCTGAGGATCTCGACGAGGTCGATTCTCAGTCGTCCATCGACGGGGGACCAGGACACGGGGACGACCACGATCGGTTCGTCCGACACTAATTCACTCCGACTCATTTCACTGAGGGGGAATGAGGGGAAGAGCTAGCGTTCGTCGGGATGCATGGAGAATGGGCGTGGACAACGGAAATGGGGAATCTCGCTTCCGATCCGTGAGCACAAGGGAAAAAAAGCCTGGTTCCGTTATGATTCGAGATTCGCGATGAACCCTTTCACACTCAGCACCGTAACGAAAGCGATAGGCGATAGAAGAAACAAGTTGCAACACGCCGCGACACGTTATTGGGGGACTCACTTCGCAGAGCTCTTCATAGTGAGAAACCACTCAGATCCAGCATACCAGGCTTTCTAGACTATGCATGATATGGTGGAAGTTAGAGCGACGAACAAACTGAAGGCGAGATAACGCCAATCAAGTACGATAACGGTCAGGGGGACAGACAATAGCAGCCACTACGGGCTGCGCTTCTCTTTACATCTCTTTTCAGTCAACAGGGGACTGTCAAGAAGAAACAAATGAGGGGGACGGACTCACTCTTTGACGGAGTCGGTTTTGCTGAGGGACGTGATGTGTTTCCCCAGATGTTGTTCTTGTTTGACCGGGGGAGTAATATTGAGAGCAGTGACACCAGGCCCAGACCCAGGGAGAGGGGGAAGGGATCCAGTGCTCGGCCGGGGGGTGCTGGACGTTGACACCCCCGGATCCCCGGGCAGTGAGGGCATTTGGTGCCACGGTGACGTCTGAGTCTGCACGGGGATCCCTCCCACTCGAACCCCCTCCGTCGACCTGGAACGCACACATGCACTGCCTTTCATGCGTGGACCGAGTCGGCGACAAAGGGGCTACATAGAAGCGAGGAGTGCAAGTTGCAACTCGATCCAGTATAACGCATGCAATTATGCTCGTTGAGCGATATTCAATTTTTTTTTCTCGAGTGATTTACGTTCCCCTCAGCTGTTTCATGGCCCGACATCTGCTCAATATGAGGGTGCATCCACAATATTAAAAAATACCATAATATTTAGCGTTGCGAGCCGGGACATCTGCGAGACCATTGAAAGCATACTCCACAGTCGACACGATCGCTCATGGCAACTCCTTCCACTCATTCCTTACATGATCGTCGCGAAGCGGTTCGCCTTGAAACGATCAGCGCTCTAATTATCGCGAGGGAGCACTGACCTTTGATCTTGAGTGCTGGGAGCAGAGGCGGAATGCTTGATGGGCTTCACGACAGCGATCCGCTGGTTCTCAGTGGGGCCGAAATGAGGCCGCTGATGCAGTTGCTGGTCCTTGTTGATATCACCGCGGGATGAAGGAGATGAAGATGATTTGATGGGAGAGTGATCGGGCCGGTAGGATGGATAACCGAGTCCGGGGCCCTGTGCCTGTTGCGGCCGACGAGGGACTGCAGCGTCTGCAGGGGCGAAGAATTCGCTCGCACTGCTCCCCCCTCGTTTCAAACCCTGTCGGCTGTGGTAGCCCCGAGGCATCGTAACACCTGCCAAGGCCCCGTGCCCGTACGAAGGGTAAACAATGGCCGTCGGCTGTCCCTCCGGTTCCGGAGGGGAATACAGATCCAACGTCGCCGCAATGCCGGTGTTCAATCGCCTCCCGTGATGCTGTTGCAGCTGATGCTGCGGATGCTGCTGCTGCTGATGATGATGAGAGGAATGATGGAAGGAATCGTCGTCCAGCTGGAATCGAGCCCTGGCATTCCTGGGACTTCGGGAAGCAGACGAGGACGACGTGACCCTATCGCGGGTCACCTGGGGCTGAGCCTGACCCAACAAGTAGGGATCGGGGTCACCCCGGGCCAGGGATGGTAGTTGATAAGCCCGCGGGATGTAATCCTGCTGTCGCCTAGACCCGTACCCATCGTAATAGTCGTGATGGGAAAGGTATCGGCGGGGATTGGGACTCTCCTGATATTCCCAGGGCGGATATCGAGACGAGGGTCGCCCTGGTCGACCATCACAGCCCGGGTTATAGTTTTCCCCACTCATCACATCACCTTCCCATCTTCTGTCCACTCAGCCCCATCACAGCTGCTTCACACGTGGAAACAAACATGGATCGTGATCGCAACGGCTCGTGATCCATATCCATTATCAAGGTTAGACAGTCATAAATATAGTAAACGATGACTATGAAAGGAATAATATAAACATGAATTTCAGTTGTGGAAAAGGCACGGAATATAAGTTTTCTTCTTCCATCACACCGATTTCAAGCCTTCTATGGCCGGTGGATGAATTTCATGCTACTGACTGCCCTTGTGATGAAGCTACGGAAATGGGGCTTTTAGAACAGTTGAAATGCTGGAAGGAAAAATTGTGAGCTGATGTTTCTTTCTTTTGTCCCTGCAAATGCACCATTCCACCAACAACAAAAAAACTTGATGGTGGAACGAAAGCGGACGTGACGATCCCTTCCATCTTTCCTCAATCGCCCTATCGATACTCCTACATGAGTCGTCATGTATCATGTCCTAAACGAAGGGGAACTTCCGACCGTGAGGAAATCGTAGCGATCAGCGTAAGGAATTTCGAGCAAAGAACGAGGAAAGAGCGGGCGATATCCACTCGAGCGAGGGGAGAGCGCCGGGTTTATTCTTGCATTTGAGTTATTGAAAATTTCCCGAGTGCACAGAAAGCATATAAACGTATGCCATAATGTACGAGAGGAAAAGAAACCATTGATTCTTTACTCATCTGATGCACATGCCCATGAATTTTGACGACGCAGCCTCACTGCACACTCGATTCACCGGATGAGGATGCAATGAAGTCCGAGCAAGAATGGCTTCTCGAGGGATGCCCTTGCCTGCGCAGTCACTGGCTACGCAGCCACTGCCTGTGCAGAGGCCCCCCCCCCCCCCCCCCCCCTCCCTCCATTCTGAGCATTGTGAATTGATCAGGAGATGAATTATGACTTTTACGGGCAGTAATGACTCAGAATTCTTGTTTCCCTTGCTTCGAGACTTCAATTGTCTTTGATTTTATGGGAAACAAACGCTTGCCTTATTCGAAGCGAAATCGGAAACAAGGTACTTGCAAGTCCTTCATCGACGAGTACTCGACGCCTCACAAATTCAGATCGATTCAGTACTACTGGCTTATCGCTGGAGATCCCCCCCCCCCCCCTAAATGGCACATTGCCAAGGCAATTCAAGTCCATTGGCTTGTCGGTATCGCTTTAGAGGTCTTTAGCATAAGGGACATTTTCACTCTGCCGATTGCAAGTACTTTCAGTGCCAGTTCAGTACTTGAGATCCCTGACGTGGAAACCTTCGGTGAAGCTAGTTCGATGATTCATCTATTTCGGTTCAACAGTCGGTCCGGAAGCTCAATATAAATACTTGAGATCCCCTTAATTCCTTAGAGCTAGACGAGTCCAACGAGACATTAGTCAGGTAGCAAATTCTGTAATAGTGCGCCTGGCAATTAATTAACTGGCAGAAAGTCGCAACGTTGGTGGAATACATAAATAAGAGGACAAAATTGGTTTCAAACTTGATGAAATGTGACTTGCAATGTTGGGCGCCTTTGACTTGCGAATTTTAAGCCGACTTTGGCAGAATGTTACCGAAATGTGGGATTTGCAATGATACCGTGCGATCTGCCGACACATTTGGACGATAGGAAAATGAAAATCGTGCACTTGAAGTGCACTCATTGGTTCTGAAGAGGCACCCTTGTGCCCTGAGCCAATTGGTCCTCGATCTCGAGGGGACCTCCAGGGTTTTTGTCTCAGTTTTTGGCCAACAGAAATCGGCAGGAAACAGAATCCCAGACTTATATAGAAGCATCCGCCACCGGTAAATAACGGCCTTATTTTATTCTTAGCCTTCGATGAAACATTAATGATGCTTCTGCTTGAAAAAATTGGGTCCATTAATGTTTCAGGAGACACTGCCTCTCAGATAGAGTTCTTTTGCTGAAAATGGACAAACAAAGTCGAAAATACATAGAATTCGGTAAGCTCACAGACAACTCGTATAATACAATAAGTATGATTCCTGGCAGTGTTCAACGACAAAACTGTGAAAAAACGCATATACTTGGTCGCATTACTCCAAAGAGTTAAATACATATTTTGCATCTGGTGAGTGCAAGAAAGGTTCCTAGTGAGCCCCTTATTGATGGCTCAGAGCTTTACGAGGATTAATTTCTTTGTGCAAATCTTGAGATTATTCGTCATCAATTTTTTTTTGCGATCACTGAGTTTCTCCAGTTAGAATCTGCACAATGCCAAGTCCCACGAGTGCCCCCTAACTTATTATTGTTTACATACAGGTATAGAATGCTAGACCGGGCTGTTAATTGCCTGTTGCCATTAATGAGTCTCCTAGATGTAACACTGCGAAAGACCATTCTCATGTGACCACCAACGTTGCTCCACCGACGTATTTGCGCTGGGTCAACGTTGGCATGCCATGTCGGGTCCACAATTTCGAGGATGGTACATTCGATCCCCAGGATTATACATTACAATAATATCACCAAATACATGCACTTCGAGATCTCCGGAAGTACTAGGCAGCTGCGGGTTAAGTACTTACTTGTATCGAATGGCATCGTATCGTGTGACGCACTTCCAATGCGATTCTCGGTAAAAACGCACTTCATAGGGGAAAAATCGATACTTGCGAATTTAGCCGCTATTCTTGGAATCCTCTGCTCTCTATCGAGAGTTTCCCTGGCGACTGTGTCGTCATCGGAGATTTTGCGACACAGCAAAATACTTTTGCTGCCCCGGGAAACCGGGCCTTGCAGCCTGAATTAAGACGGAATCGCCGCTTCAATCAGGGCCACAAAGCGATTTTTTATTTTCCTTCCTCGATTCCACCAGCAGCGTCTGGCTCTTCCTTCGGCGGCTATGACCACTTTTCTCTGCTCTGATCAAAAGAATTTCTTCCCTTCGCTAAGATGGAATGCCATACAAGCCCCATGAATCAATAAAGCTCCATCTACGACTCTATTGTTGGCGGTTGATGTATTGGGAGGAAACGAGGGGGAAAAAATATGAATTTTCTTCCGCTTTGATTTCATAAGAATGAATCTCTATCTCCTTGCTCAGAACCATCGGTTGGCTCGAGGAGCCAGTTCACCTCCTTAATTCTATTAGAACCCCCTCCTCGGTCTGGCAGAGTCATCTAGCGTTAAAGCAAGCAATCTAAAAGTCCGAGACAGTTATGAGGATATCTTTGGAATGAAGTTGTTCAAAGTCGCAATTCCGGGAAACAAAACTTCTCACGAGGAAAACGTTGGAGTACGCCATCCTACCAGTATTCCCAAATGGAAATCCTCCAACCAGACACAATTATGGATTTCTACGGAATTTCTCAAATTTTGGCAGCTGGTGCAATTTCCTTTTAGAATTAGTTGGGCAGATTCAACAGGCTCAGGGTTGAATGATCGTCGGCGGAAGCCTATGATTAGGAGAATGCAATTTTCTGACGAGCTAATTATTATTCACTCGTTATCACCCTCGACAAAGCATCGTCCGGGGCAGACTCTTCCCGACGCAAGCGACAACGGTCGTAGCCTAGGCTAACCGGTACTGTTGGAATGTCTGCGTCGAGCACGCCGTCAGAGCCAGCTGTTCCAGTTCGGGACAACTCTATCAATATTCAATGCTTTCATCCCTATTGAGAGATCGATCGAACGAGCTGGGAGGAAACCAAAGCCGAGCGAGCAATCGATACGGCACAGCACGACCCCGCAATGCAGAAAGGATTACAAAACAGCCCCAGCCCTCACACGAAATCCGAAATCGGAAGATGAGAAGCGACTGCTTCCTTGAAGGCCTTGCAGCGCTCCCCAGATGCACGAAAATTTAATGGAGGTGCCCCGCCCCACCCCAGAGTCTGTTATGTTAAAAGCACAGGAGTTCGGCCGATTTCCGACCGAAAGACGAGCTCGACACTGCAGAGGTGAGAATGCTGACGCGATGGGCACAGTATTCACTGAGTACCACAAGAAATTCCATCGGTGGACGAGCATGAGGGGTAGGGAAAACGGGAGATGAGGGAAGAAAAGGGGGAGAGCCGAGTCGAGAGGGAGCAGCTGAGACGCAAGGGGGATCGATGGGAAGGCGAGTGAGAAATTGCACATGCGCCATGACACCAACCTCCTCATCCTGGGGACTGGAGCGCCCATGCGCCTTTCCCCCCCCCCCTCTCCCCCGTTACCCCCTAATCCCCCACACACTCGAGGGGGACGAGGACGAAAGACGAAGGAAAAGGTACATAATGAAGGAAAGCCATGCAGGCTCCCTCTCTCCTAGCCTCGGGAAACACTGAGCCTTCTCCATCATTGATCGCCTCCTCTCCCTCGCTCTCTTTCTTCCCCCACGACCCTCTCTGCATGTTTCTTCGAAATCTCTAGCCTCACCCTTCTAATCCCCTTCCATCTCGAAGTCGCAACCCCTTGATTTCCCTCATTGTCACACTTCAAGATATTGAATGCGTTTCCTGTTTCTTTGAATTTGAATGCGACAGAGCAGTCGCGATTGTGTACCTTCTGCCATTTTATAACTGAGCATAAATTATTGAAATCGTTTGCCTGGAAATAAACACACATGCTCAGAGTCAAAGACTTTGGAACTATGCAACTCCATATGGACTTGGTTCGCAGCGCAGCAGCGGAAATGGATTCTTCAGGCATGGAGGTATGCTGTGCACTCTCGTGTGACAGCATTGATCGCCATGGCGACCATTTTCGGAATCACATCCAGTTGGAGGCACGATTATTCTTGATTTCTCTTGCAAGGGCTACTTCGAATTTCGCACCAGTAAGGTCTCGACCTCGGCCTTCGATCGACGGGCATTCCAATTTCTTATTAAATATTTGACCATGATACGGTAGGGATGAAAGTGAACTGGGACTATTTTCTGCGGGTAAAGGGTCGCATATAACACAAATAATGTCTGCATGTTTGTCTCATCCCGTAGATGAGTTAGATATGGCATAATTTCCGTTTCACTTCCCCGTTGAGGTGC